GGCAGAAGAATAAAGATATTAAGAATTGTTATGTATGGAAATTTTGTAGGAAAGTGGGTGGAGACAGGCTAGTTTATTGATTGTTTAGTTTAAGAAAAGGGATGTTTAAGAGATATATTTATGGGAGTGGAGGAAATGGACAGACTATGAGTTGAATAAATGTTAAATTAGGATTTATTATATAGTTTTATAGTGGAAGGCTGCTTTGAAATATTATATTAATATACACAAAAGATTAAACGTTAAATTAGGATTTATTATATAGCCTTAAAGAGGAAGGTTGTTTTGAAATGTTATATTAATATACATAAGAGGTTTGATTTAAGAGATATATGTATGGGGAGGAGAAAAAGGGCAGATTATTGTTAAATTGGGAGTTATAATAATATTATTATGTTAAACTAGAAGTTATTACATAATGTTATAGTAGAATGTTATTTTGAAATGTATAGTAAAAGGGGGATATAATAATAATATTAGAAAGAAAGGGTCAGTATTTGGGGATGGAGTAAGGGGATGGTAAAGTATTATATAATCTGTTATGAATTTGGATTTTACTTTGAAGAAGTCACAGGGGGAGGGGTGGTGAGGGGCGGTTAGGGAGGAGGGGGGAGAAAAAAGGGGGAAAAATCTGTATTTGAAAAACTTTTTCAATAAAAAAAAAAGATATGCAAACCACGGGCCTGCGCCCTGGAAACCCAGTTGACCGTGCAAAGTGGCATTCAATGATCCAAAAAGCGGACCCTGCAATAGCGGGAATATGCTAGGAAAAAGAAGAAGATCTCATCTTGGAGTATATCTCTATTCAGTATTTCAAGAACCAAAATACACAAGAGAATTTATATGCTAGCCATTCACTTACTTACTTACTTACTTACTTACTTACTTACTTACTTACTTTGTTTGTTTGCTTGCTTTACGTAATTCCTTTTTATTTCTATTTCTGTGATGAGATGTAGTCTGGAATCTCAGGAGGGAAGAGCTGCATTCCAGAGGGCGAAAAGGCAGTGAACCTTAAATAGTTTGGTTAGGAAAGAGTTAAGAAGATTCCTAGCAATTCTTAGAGTGTATCTATAGTGATGCATATTGCTGTTTTTAGTTTGGCAAGATTTTTGTCTATAGATGAGGAAGAATAAAGGAAACTTTTCAGAAATAAGAGTGTTTATAATCTACAGGGCCTATTAAATCACCAACCTCCAATACCTCAGAATTCCAAAGAGATGGAGATAGGCAGCAGTTAACCTTTAGTCCATGTTATTTGTAATCCACCACTGGTCAGCCAAGATTATAGGTTATATGATATCCAGGAAAAGAGAAAGGAAAAAAAAGCAGTGTTTGTCATTTCCACTATCCTTCAGTTTTATATCCCCTTTGCCCAGTAGATGCCCTCCTTGCTCCTTTCTTATGTCAGCGCAAAGGGGGGGGAGGCAGTTTACTTTCCCTATTTTAGCCCAAATTCCAGGAAGGCGACTCAATATAATTGCAAATTGTCTCTATCCAAAGTTACCTCTGTCCAAATCTTCTTTTGTAAAGTCTAGTCCAGTCGCTCTGTTTTTTTTTTTTTAACAACTCGCCCTTCACTCCTTATTATTATTATTAACTGTAACTGTTTTGCATTTTTCCTCGACGCTTCAAAAGTGTGGGAAGTGGGAAGAAATTCCCTTCCCTCCTTCTCTCTGGAGTCCCCCTTTCTTCTTAAATCAGCATAGGGAAATTCACTCAATTTGGTGGAAGTTGGAAAGAAACTTCATCCAGGTCCAATCCACTGCTTTCTTCCGCTTTCTCAATGCTTACTCTGACCAGCTGTCACTGCTTCGGTTCAGCCATTAATGGCCATCTTCTTTTCCACTTCTTTCAGGAAGGATTACGCTTGACCAGCAAAATGGACCGCCACCATTTTGCTGTTCTTATCACCATAAGACAATGCCTAAGAAAGGCCCTTACCTGTATTTGGTTGGATACCTGCTTTGTTTTTCTCCAGCAATGCTCTTAGTATCTCTTTGGCTGCTCCTTCTCCTGGAATTCCTCTGAATATCTAATTTATTTCTGATATAATCTAATAAACCATAGGTTTTTTTTCAACCACAATTTCTTTTATTCTTAATAAAATATTAAACTCAGTGTTGACAGTCAAGGAAGAGAAAGCTTGTTTCTCCTAATTGAAGTTGCCTCACAAGATAAAAAAGGAAGAGGAGAAAAGCAGCATGCTTTAGCTTATTTATTTGTTGAATAATTTATTGTTTAGCCTTAGTTATGAAATGGAAGTATAAAAGAGCATATGTAAAGATAAATGCAGAATACATACACACATACACACACAAAGATACACAACAAAGTATACATGCATATTCAAAAATCCTTAGGCAGCTAAACGTTTCCTGCCAACTTGTGATCAGTAGACAAAATTTGAAATATGAATTAGTTTGGCTTTTAATATCCAGGATTTGTTATTTGGTCAACGGTTGTAATTCATAAACATTACAACTATATAGAAAAAGATCATAGCCGATCTATCATACAGGATAGTAAGTTAAAATATTTGTCCACACTGTTCAATTACATTATCTGGTTTACATACACATATGATATGATTTTTTACTGAAGATAATGAACTTTCCCAAATTCATTCCCAGAGAGAATTGCCTCTGTACTGCTTAGTTGCAGAACAATTTTAGAATTACCATGACAGTACTGAAACAATTGGAGCATCTTTAGGTCATTTTCCTTGAATTTCTATTCTAAATAATTCCTTGGAAAATTTCCATGAAACTGATTTACCTGTTACTGCTTCAGTTGTAGTAAATATAATTTTAAAAAACCCACATTTTTCTCTTCTATTGTACAACGTATTTTTCTAAACATCTTTGTATCTGAAATGTGGCATACCCAGTTCTCCTAGAACAATTTTAAAATATGTATGTATAGGTGGACACATATTCAAGTTGCTACAAATTCATCACATTCATACTTATTATCACTATAATTTATCTCATACCAATATATACACTGAGAAGTACACATGCATATTTTTAATGTGAACACAGTTCCAGGATCAAGAAGACACCAGACATTTTTAATAGTTATTGAACAATGTCAACATTAGACAGTCCATATGAGTGAACAATCAATGAAAATCAAAATAAAAGCATGTGAGCTGGTACAATCTCTTCTTAGAGATGTACACAGGCATTCATAATTATCTTGTAAACTAAAGATGCCTCTATTCCATAATTGTGCCAAATTCAATTATGTAACAAAATGTGATGGGACTATTATCTTTATTCTTCCAAATAATATTAGACAGCTCTTATTATTTCTGTTAGCTATATTGGCTGAGAATGATGAAGCTGAATCCAACAACATTTGGAAAATCCATCTATTCATCTGATTTAGTTCACATCATTCGTGCAACTACATATACTTGTGGTTACTCACAGTATCTTAAAGTAAAATCCTTAGTTTTCTCTGAACTTTTTTTTAATTACACACTCTAAATAGAAGATGTTTGATCAACCACAATACTTCATTTTTGTTCGTGCTACAATGAATTTTTCAAAATAGTTGTAATTACTCTATTACCTCTTTTTAAATTTGTATATCTTGCCTAAATAAAAAACAAATGCAACCACAAATTCTGAACAGGTACATTGCCTTGCCATGTTTAATTCAGCACATTTCAGCCCCTAGATAGTAGGAGGTGCAGAATCCAACTGTTACAACTACTGGAGATAATGCTTTATAGCCAGAAAAAAACAAGACATTTATTGAAAGCAGAGTATATGGAGTAAAAATAGTGAGAAAATAAAAAGATGTCTTGCCATGACATGAAGATGAATAAATCACCAACTGAATAATGTCTATGAAACCTGTCTACATAAGCCAAGAATAAAGGCATCTGCTATAACAATGGGAGTAAATGTTGACTGATGCAAAGGGTGTAGAAAGTGAATGTTTAATGTTCCTGTTCTAAGAAGGTACCTTTGAGTTTGCTGGCCTTCAATTCCAATGATTATTTATGGCTAGGAGTTAGGGGAGTCTCATATATGTTATAAAATTCTAGTTTAATATACAGAAGCACATTATAGAAAATGTTGCTTTTGCTTAAAACACACACACACACACACACACACACACACACAAAGATAAATTCACCACGGCTCCTCTGCAGTGAGGCAAGGGATTAAAGAACACACCAACTAACAATAAGGGAGAATATTTGTAGTTCAGGTTGAAATGAGGGGTCCTTTTTGCTCTCTGAGCTTGCTTGTTTTCTTGCAGACAGTTCATTACCCAAACTAGGTAATGTGCTGCATGATGATTTTACCTAGCTTAGGTAACCAACCGTCTGCAAGAAAACAAGCAAGCTCAAAGAGCACCAAGGACTCCTCACACCTCACACCAACTAACAGCTGATCCTAGATGTAAATCAAAGAGAAGAAAACAACTCTGGGGAGAGAAAGCTCACATCTCTCTGCTTTCCAGCTACTCTTCTCTTATTGAAACTTTGGGGGTGGGAGGTGTCTTTTTTTGTCCTAGCGCCAACTGAGCAACTCTGCCCTTTCTGGTACCCCAGAGTTTGTTCTCATGTGTAGTGACCTTCCATTACAAACTAGCACGGGCAGAATCCAGAGCAAGTTAAGGCACGCACCTCCATCACTGGACGATCTTTTTAAATAAATATATGCCGGAGTCTTGTGGTTTGGAAAAAGGACCGACAAGAAATAGTGATTATCCCGGCGATCAACTGCCAGGCGGGGAAGTCTGGCTTGGCGAAAGCCGTTTTTCTCGCTGTTTTAACGTGGCTTGTTGTGAAAGTGCACGCAATTAGATATTTTATTCGAAAATTGAAACGACCAATGCTCACGCCACGCCTAAGGAGTTTCCAGACCTCTAGATTCCTCCTCCCGCCCGGACTCCCTCCTCCTGGCGGTTGCCGCTGCGCCTTTGCCTTCAAAGCGGTCGGCTGCCTTTTCCGCTCATCCGAGCTGGGGTGTCCCAGTTCGAAGCAGAGAGGTCGGCCGGGTGCGTGGCTAAGGAGAGGAGGAAGGTCGCGCTTCCACCAGCGCCTGGTCGCGAGTCTGGGCACTACATCGGGCTTCGCCGCCGGCCTGAGCGAGGTGAGCCGGGAAATGTTCGGTGCCTGGCGTCCTTGGGGCGAAAAGGTAGGCGAAGCATGCCAGGCAAGCGGGAGAAAGTTGCTCCTGAGTTCCATTTTGCTGCTGTATGGGAGGGGCCGTTTCTTCTTAAAAAGTCCTTGGGACTGCCTTTGAAGATCTCCGATTGGGTTGGAGCAAGACAGGTTCTTTCCGCCTTTCCAAGACGCTTGAACTCCTTAACAGGGTCCTTCCATCCATCAGATGGTAGATCTCGAGCAAAGGGAGAGGAGAAAGACGAGTGGAGAAAGTATTGACTTTGCACTTGAAAGCGACAGCAATAACTCTTGCTAGGGTAATTAGAAGTAAATACATTACTTCTGCCATCCACACCCAGGAAACAGAATATACAACAGGTGTAAGGACTGCTCTGCACTATGGTGAAAAATGTCTCAGCCACAACTCTGCAGACATGAAGAACAATTTGAAACAATCCACTCTCAATAACTATACAAATCCAGCCTTTGCCTGTTTCAGGCTCTTTAGAGGTAGGAGAGAGTTCAAAACACTTGTTTGTTGTTTGGACATTGCTGAAAGTGTGGACTGGTCAGGAAAATCCGAGCAAGCCACTAGCTATAACTTGAATGAAACAGTATTGATAATAGCCTTATGGTATTCTTGAGGAGAAAAAAGTCTCCTTAGGTCTGTAGAAGCCAACTTGATTGTGTAAATACAAACTGTGCCGTGGTGTAACTGAAGCGTTGTAGAAGTGGTTTTTTTTGTGGACCTAATAAGTCACTTTGTGCCTATTATTGTGCCCATACATATGGCCACAGTGGGTCCATTTTAGTGGGATAGAATTAAAATGCTGAACTTGTGATAGTAATCACCCTTTACTAGAAAACCAGTCTTATGGTTTAGTGGAATCTACTTTTTACATCAGGATCATATTCAACAAGTGCTTAGCTTTGTCATTTATGAATCCTAAAAATGTAATCCAAACAAACTGAACCATGTTCATGTCACTGCTTTTAGTTGGAAATTGAGACCAAACTAATCTCAACTGGAATGGATGTGACAATTATAGTCCATTCTGTAGCTGTTTAGAGAAGAATATGACTCCATGTGGCATACAGGTTTTATGACCAGTCATGGCTGCTGTTGTACTGATATGAGTCAGCTGAAGGAGAGGGCAAAATGGGAGAAGCAACTCCGGTATGGCCTTCAGATCCATGTCTCAGGGACATACCTAAAACATATCCAGCTATGTAAAAGAACCCGCAGTCACACTGTAACATTCCTCATTCATTGATCTGGCTAGTTATTTGGGGTTTTTTTTGGGGGGGGGAAAATGCAATAATATGTTAAACGTTCAAGTTCCATCCTGGTATACTCAAGTGTGGCTTAATCCTTTTCTGAAATCCAGGATAGAATCTACTATCAATTCATTGCCTAATTTGGTATAATGGTTTCCCATAAGCTTATGTGATGGCAGTCTTTTGCATATTTAACTTGAGATAGATATTTGTTTCTCATTCCCAATAAGATGAGTTTAAAACTGGAAGATTGAAAAGGGAAGATATCTGATTTGAAAGGACTGAAATATATTTGTTTCCTTTGTAGTTTGAACATCTATTCCTATGTTGCTCTTTTTTTTGGTTATCTCAGAATGGGTTACTTCAGATTTGCATGTGAGGGAAAGTACAAAAGGAGAATCTAATGCTTTTTTTTTCCTGAAGAAGATAACATATTTTTCAGTTTCCTTTTATCATTTTAGGTTAATGAATACAAATAAGTAGTGACTAATATAGATAGCATGTCTAGCTAAACAGGTTTTTCAGGGTAAGATGAAAGGATGTAATAAGATGTAATACAACTTCAATCCTTTATGAAAGAGAAAGAAATTATTAATTACCAGAAAAAATATGAGTGAAATGTATTTTGAAGTCCCATTAATTTCAGATTAGTTGCCACTAAACTAGGTGGAATATAAAATTTGAAGTGAAATATAAAAACAGTCAAGTAAAATACAAAACAATCAAGCAGAAAACACTGTCCTAATCAAGCAATTATCGAGGAGAAAGCCACGTCATACAAACCAGAGTTGCTCTGGTTATATGAGTGGCATATAAATGTAATAAATAAAAAATAAACACTGTCTGGAGAAGCAACTGTATATAATCAGGGAGCAAACCCCACACTCACTAGTACTGATAATGTTATCTAATTAGGTAAGGTCATCTCTTCAAGCAAACAACCAAGCTTTAAAAGTATAAAATTGCTTATCTTTGATTAGAGTATGTGTTAAACAGTATACAGTATGTATGTCTAATGTATACATACTAATTGACTATACTAATTATTAAAAGGATATTTACCAATGAGCAAGAAGGTTTTATTAGAAGTCATGCAGCCTGTTGAAGCCAAGCGGAATTAGTGTTCATCATTATCACATGCAAGGAGGTATAAAATACTTCCTTGCATCTGAGCTTTTATAATCCCTTTTTGAGAATAATTTCTCACATTGTTAAGAAATTTAGCCTGCAATTACCAAAACAATAAATAAATACAGAGTTCCCTATTTTCACAAAATAAACAGCATGCTTCCCTTTCAACCAAAAAGTATGAAAAAACAGACTAGAATATTGTCATTTTAGATTGCGTGTGCATAGGTTTCTCATTTGAAAGAATATTTTTGGTGGAATTTTTATGTTGTAATTTTAACATCACTCTTAAGGACTACTAACCAGGACTCTGCTCAGACTTGTTCTTTGGACTGTTTCTAGTCCAAAAACCAAGGTTTTTCTGCAACCCTACGAAGAAGTAAGAAAATAGAACTATACCTTTACAGGGAGGATACATAAGATGTGGGTGTGGCTTACTGATGAAAGCAAACAAGCTAGAAATAGATCTATATAAGTCTCCCACCTAGCAGGAAGAACTTACTGGCTGCTAGAAAGGAAAAAAGCCCAGAATCTAGTGGATGTGATTCTACTGAGCTGGGGCTGCAGAAATCTTGGTTACGTGGGGAAAACCTGGCTAGAGGAAAAACATATATATATATATGTCTTCTTAAGTTTTCGCGGGTGTGCATATGCAAAAAATTAAAATCTCGGGTGTTTTCCCGCATCATTGTAAATAAATTGGTTAAAATACTTAAAATTCTGGTTAAAATCCCATCTTAAAATCTTCTAAAAATCCTTAGAGAGCACTCTGCAAGGTCTTTAAAACCTCAGCTAAAATCCTACCAGTGACTTTAAAAGTTTTTCTTATAGCAATGTTTCGACAGGCTCACAACCCTGTCATCTTCAGGCTCTTGTTTCATTTAGAAGCGAAGGGATCTCTGTTGCGAGGTCGAAGCTGTCGCTTATCTATGTTTGATTTTAAGATTTTAAGCTGGGATTTTAACCAGAATTTTAAATATTTTAACCAACTTATTTACAATGACGCGGGAAAACACCCGAGATTTTAATATAGATAGATAGATAGATAGATAGATAGATAGATAGATAGATAGGTAGATAGATATAGATATAGATATAGATATAGATATAGATATAGATATAGATATAGATATAGATATATGTATGTAGTGTTTACCGAGACACCTGGTCTACCCCAACATGTGGGAGGGTGCATTCTGCTCCCTTCATTGTGAATACGACTGCTTGAGGGCTCCTGGATTGGAGCTGAAAGGCAAAAGGGAGCAGAATGCCCCCTACCACATGTTGGGGTAGACCAGGTGTCTCGGTAAACTAATCTATCCCTGGCTCAAGCTGATGAAGGGAGGAGAACTTGTGGCTCAGAAGGTTAATTCCTGCCTAACTTGCAGGAAGCCCAAGTTTGAATCCAAGTAAGGGTATAGCTAGCTGATGAAAGCTAAAAAGCTTGAAATAGATCTATACTAGTCTCCCTTTATTTCTTTATCAGCAAAATATAATTTTTTTGTTATATTAATTATATATATTAACTATATAAACTATATAGTTAATATATATAAACTATAATTATATATAGTTTTAAAAAATAACACAAAAGGCCAATTGGTTCTATTCTTTATCAGCTTTGGGTGTGCCTTTGCATTCATTCATTGCTAAACATCAAAAATGACATGGAATAATCTAAAATGAAAATATTATTGATTTTTTTTTAATATAAAAGAGTGAACTGAAGGCATTTCTTTATTTGCCCCTTTCCACCATGGCATTAATCCCTAAATTTAGACTTTGGAAATTTGGTTAAATGGGTAGCATGCTACTTTTCTCCTTTGTACTCTTATTTTAATTTGATATGTAGCATTTTATGTAGATTAGTAAGAGTACCATTAGGTTCTTTCTATCATTCTTTAATATCTTCTGTAGTTTGAGCGGATTTCCTCAGCTGCATAGTTCCTTGTCAAAACCAATAAATAATTATTCTACTTAATTTTAATATTTAAAATACTTAATACTAAAGTACACCTGTGTTTTAGGGATTGATTGGAGAATCTGTTAGCTTTAGATTCTGGACTTAAATTTCCACCAGCATAATTACTCCTTCCTGGAATTACTGGACTGCTACGAAACCATAATGGTAAAACTATTTGGAGGACAAATAAATTGGGATGGTGCAGGTATCTTGGAAGACTAAGTAAAAGAAAAAGAATGGAGTTTGAGAAAACACAAACTAGGCAATAAGGATGAAGCTGGAAGAGCAAATGTCTTTATCAAGGCTATATAAGAGCCTTGGTAGTACAGTAGTTTAAAGCACCCTGTTATTAATACAGCTGCCTGCAATTACTTCAGGTTCGAATCTTACCAGGCTCAAGGTTGACTCAGCCTTCCATCCTTTCTAAGGTAGGTTAAATGAGGACCCAGTTTGTGGGGGCAATAAGCTGACTTTGTATAAATATACAAAAGTATGAAGGCTATTGCTTAACGCATTGTAAGCCGCCCTGAGTCTCCGGAGAAGGGCTGCATATAAATCAAATTTTTTAAAAAAATTACGATATGAGCATAGAGAGATATGGGCTTAGAAGTATTGTGCTGCATTTGAGAATTGGCAGAAAGTCAGTGTAAATAATTAAGAAT